CCCAGGCTGGCCTCGAACTCACAGAGATCCGCCTGCCTCTGCCTCCCAAGTGCTGGGATTAAAGGCGTGCGCCACCACGCCCGGCCTGGCTTTCTTTTTTAAGATTCATTTTGTTTTCTGTGTGTGAGTGTTGTCTGTATGTCTGGGCACTGTGTGCATGCAGTACATGAAGAAGCCAGGAGAGGGCATTGCGTTCCTTGGAATTAAAAGGAGGTTGTGAGCCACTGTGTGGATGCTAGAAGTCAAACCCAGGGCTTCTGCAGCAGCGGGTACCCTTAACCACTGAGTCATTTCTCCAGCACATTCTTCTTTAACTTATTGAAAGCGTCTCATTTAGCCCAGGCTAGTGTAGAACTTGTTATGTAGTCAAGGATAACCTTGAACTTATGAACCTCCTGTTTCTACCCCCAACATAACCTGGGATTGCAGGTGTGTGCCACCATGCCTGGATGGTTTTTTCTTTTTGGTGTTTTGAGACAGAGTTTCGCTGTATAGCTTTGGTACCTGTCCTGGATCTCACTCTGTAGCCCAGGCTGGCCTCAAACTCACAGAGATCCACCTGGCTCTGCCTCCCGAGTGCTGTGTGCCACTGCTGCCTGGCTCCTCGATGTTTTGTTTTAATTTTTTTTTTTTTAATGTGCATTAGTGTTTTGCCTGCCTGTATGTTTGTGTGAGGGTGTCAGATGCCCTGGAACTGGAGTTACAGACAGTTGTGAGCTGTCATGTGGTTGCTGGGAATTGAACTCAGGACCTCTGGAAGAGCAGCCAGTGCTCTTAACCACTGAGCCACCTCTCCAGCCTGATTCTTTATTGATGCTGTGGGTGTATGTGCCGTACATACAAGTCCCATAGTGCCTGTGGGACTCAGTTCTCTTCCTTCACCATCTTGGTTCTGGGGATTAAACTAAGACTGACTTTAGCTTTGCTGCGAGTGCTTTTACATGCTCAGCCATCTTGCTGGCTTCTTACTTCTTCATTTTTTGAGGCAATTTGTATATGTGGTAGAGGTTGGCCTGGAATTCGGGGTCCTCTTGGCATGGCCTCTCTCTGTTGGCATCACAGGTAACACAGCCCCACCTGCCAGAATTCACAGGGTTGCCCTTTCCTGCCCTGTCCTGGGGTACCGAGAGGATAACCATGTCAATATTTGATTTTTCTAAAACAGGGTTGAAAAATACAGACCTGTGAAGCTCCATGAAATAGTTGGCAATGAAGACACAGTGAGCAGGCTGGAGGTAAGGAGCTCTGTAACCCTGCTGATGTCACACTGTGGATCTGACAAGCCAGTGGCCATCGGAGATTTGATGATTGGCTGAGGTGGTGAAGGAGGGTTCATGTCGACTTTTCCCCGCTGGGGTGACAAAGTACCCGATGAACAGGACTTAAGCCAAGAAGGGTTAGTTTGACTTTAGCTCACCGTCTGAGGTCACAGTCCTTCCTGGTGGGAAGGCATGGAGGCCGGAATGTGAGGCGGCTGGTCACGTGGCACCCACAGTCTGGAAGCGGGAGGTGGATGCTGCTGCTCACTAGGCCGCTTTCTCCTTTCCACTGAGTCCAGGATCCCAGCCCTCGGGAGGAAGCCACCCACATTTAGAGTGGGTCTTCCTGCCTCTGGAGGGCAGGGCTGGTTCCCTCCCACCGCCTCTGGGGCCTGATGGTGGATGACAAACTAAGCTTGTTGGCCTTTGCAAATGTCTTTACCTGCTGAGCCAGCTTCCCGGCTACTATTGTTGTTGGTTTTGGGGTTTTTGTTATTGTTGTTTGGTTTTTTGGAGCATACTATTCACTATGTAGCCCTGGCTGTCCTGAAACTTGCTATGTAGACCAGGCTGGCTTCTGACTCACAGAGATATGCCTGCCTCTGCTTCCCAAGTGCTGGGATTAAACAAGCGTGCCACCACACCTGGGCTGTTTATTTGTCTTCGAGACAGGGTTTGATATGGAACTTAAGCTGGCCGGAGTTCCTGATCCTTCTCCCTCAGCCTCCCTGGTGCTAGGATTAGAGGTGAGTACCACCACACTAACTTCATGAACCTCTTTCACCCAGGTCTTTGCAAAGGAAGGCAATGTGCCCAATATCATCATTGCGGTGAGTACTTGGGCCTGTCCTCTAGGCATCTCGCATCCCGTGTCCACTCCCTCCCCTGGGGAGGCTCCCAGGTCCCTGGCTGGGTTGTTGGGGGAATTGGGAGCAAGTGCCAGCAGTGGGGGGTTGGGGGAGCAGCAAGAGCTACATGGGAACCCTTTAATTAATTAATTAATTAATTAATTAGTTGGTTGGTTGTTTTTTATGTGTGTGGGTGTTCTGCCCATGTGCATGTCTGGTGCCAGGGAGGAGGGAAGGGAGTGGGGTAGGGTAGTGTAGTGGTGATGTATCTCTTGGAACTGGAGTTACAGACAGTTCGGGGCTTTGGGAATGGAACTTGGGTCCTCTGGGATGAGCAGCCAGTGCTCGTAACCGTCTCTCCAGCCTCTGGGTCCTTCCTGCACGAATCAGTTAAGGGAGCTCTTACCTACAGGGTCCCCCAGGAACCGGCAAAACGACCAGCATCCTCTGCTTGGCGAGAGCACTGCTGGGCCCTGCCCTGAAGGATGCGGTTCTGGAACTCAATGCGTCCAATGACAGGTAGGGTGGGAGGGAAGGCAGGCCGGCTCCTGTTGTGCCTGAGTGGACAGGTTCTGCTTGGTTCTGCCTTGTGCCCGGTGCTGGCTTCTCTGACTCCACGTTTAACCGGGGAATCATTACCTTGTCCGAGTGTCTGAGGAGCACCTGCAGGCTTCCTTGTTTTGATGACAATGTTCAAATGACTCTTAAAATTGGTTTTTATTGCTGCTTATTCATTGTGGGGAGGGGCATATGCCATGATGTACATGAGGAGGTCAGGACAGCTTGCTGGGGGTCCGTTCTCTCTTTCACCAAGTGGGTCCTAAGGATCAAACTCAGGTTGTGAGGGTTGGCGGCAAGAGCCCTCCCCTCAACGCTGTGTGTGTGTGTGTGTGTGTGTGTTCTTCACACAATCATGTGGAATTGGTTCTTTTCTTCCACCTTTATGTGGGCTCTGGGGATCGACCTGAGGTTGTTGGTCTCCCGTGGTCGGCCAGCTGGTGCCCTCCTCACCCACAGTGCTGGCTCAGCAGCCCTGAAACCACTTTAAGTGTCCGCTTCAGTCGTGTTAACATGTTCTTGTTACGGTGCAACAGCCTTCTGGCCTCGCAAAACTGAAACTGCCCCCGAGCGCCTCCCCATTCCCTTCTGCGGCCCTGGCAGCCACAGCCACCTTCTGGTCTGTGTATTTGACGATTAGCTCATGTTCCCAGGTGAAAATAAGGTTCTGTAGCCCTTGGGGCTCTCAGGAGGATTTCCGAGCCCCTTAGGGCTCTCAGGAGGATTTCCGAGCCCCTTGTGAGCTGGGAGTGGTGTGTGGGAAATCCCAGCCCTGGGAAGGCCAAGGCAGGTGGATTCTGGGTTCTAGGTCTGCCCAGGTGCCATATAAAGACCCTCTCTCAAAAAATAAAATATGGGGCTGGAGAAATTGCTCAGCAGGTAAGAACATGTGGTGCACACCTTTAATCCCAGCACTCGGGAGGCAGAGGCAGGCGGATCTCTTGAGTTCGAGGCCAGCCTGGTCTACAGAGTGAGTTCCAGGACAGCCAGGGCCACACAGAGAAATCCTGTCTGGAAAAACAGAGAGAGAGAGAGGGAGAGGGAGAGGGAGAGAAAGGGAGGGAGAGGGGGGGGAGGGAGAGAGAGAGAACGAGAACGAGCCGCTCTTGCAGAGACCCAGAATTCCTTTCCTTGCACCGCATCAGGCGGCTCACAGCTGCTTGGAACGCCAGCTCCGGGGCTTCTGACACCTTGTGGTCTCTCCAGGCACCCACCTACACATGCCCTGCATCTAGGCAGACACATAAAAAAGTAAAACAGGGTCGCTGAGATGGCTCAGTGAATAAACACCCCCACTGTGCAAGCCCGAGAGCACTGGTTCTGCCCGCAAAACCCAAAGTGAAGGCAGAAAAAGTCCCTCCGTTTGTGACGCGTGCCTTCTTCCTTCTGTTTCAGGGGCATTGATGTGGTGAGGAATAAAATCAAAATGTTCGCCCAGCAGAAAGTCACCCTTCCCAAGGGCCGGCACAAGATCATCATTCTGGATGAAGCAGACAGGTGCGGGCTGGAGATGGGCGTCCCCAAGTAGCCCAGGCTGGCCTCAGATCTCCAGTCCTGCTTCTGCCTCCAGCACAGCAGGGGTGGAGGGCTGTGCCCCAGGCCCGGCACCCACTGCCCTCTTGTTTGCCCCAGCATGACGGACGGTGCCCAGCAGGCCCTCAGGAGGACCATGGAAATCTACTCCAAGACAACCCGCTTCGCTCTGGCTTGTAATGCTTCAGACAAAATCATAGGTGAGCATGCAACCTGGACGGCTGTATCCAGGGAAGCTTGCTTTTTTCTTTTTCTTTTTCTTTTTCTTTCCTATGTATATGAGTACTCTATCTGCATATATGACTGTATGCCAGAAGAGAGCATCAGATCCCACTATAGATGGCTGTGAGCCACCATGTGGATGCTTGGAATTGAACTCAAGACCTATGGAAGAGCAGCCAGTGCTCTTAACTGCTGAGCCATTTCTCCAGCCCAGGGCTCCCTTTTTATTTATTTGCTTTTTTCATTTGTTTTTGATTGTGTATCTGTCTTAGTGTATGCGCCCTGGAGTTGAGGTTACAGGTAGTTGTGAGAAACCTGATGTGAGTGCTAGAAACCAGGCTTGGGTTCTCTGGAAGATCAGCAGGTACCTTTAACCCCTGAGACGTTTCTCCAGCCGTGTGTGTGTCTGTGTCTGTCTGTCTGTGTGTGTGTGTGTGTGTCTGTGTGTCTGTGTGTCAGTGTTTCTGTATACAAGCCTGCTACAGTGTGTGGGGAGGTTGGAGGATAGCTCGCTCCTACCATGTGGATCCCAGGGATTGAGCTCAGGTTGTCAGACTTGGCAAGTGCTGTTTACTTTTGTTTTGAGACCTGGTCTTCTCTAATTTACCCAGGCTGGCCTTGAACTCACTTTATAGCCCAGGAATGCATCAAACCTACAGTCCTCCTGCCTCAGCATCCTGAGTGGTTGGGATGACAGGCCTGAGCCACCCAGCCCATCTGGAACACACTCTGGTTGTTTTGTGTCCTGCGGCTCTTGACATCAGCTCTGTGCATCAGGCTTTGTGGCTGCCTGGTGTGGCCAGGCCTCCACCTCACCACGGTGTCTCCTTTCGGGGCCCTTTGGCCTTTAGCCCAGCTACTGCCCACAGCACTGGTCTACCCTCTGCGTCTGGTGTCACCTCCTCCTGCCACTGACTGCGTGAGTCACCTGGACCATCCTGTGTGTGTTGTCTGTCTCCTTTCTGTTCTGCTGATCCACCTGCGTGAGTCACCTGGACCATCCTGTGTGT